ATATACTAACGCCAGTGTGATTCATTATTCTACCACTCATTTAATAATTAACGTGCTGAGAAGTAAGAATTATTGGTATGTTTATGAGATGGTAAGATATNTTATGAAATATTTATATGATACGCTTTTTCTTTGTTGGTGTAACAGTTTGGAAGGAAAGAATCATCCATTTGAACCTTTTATAATTTCAATTTATTCTACGATCAAAGAAATAAAAAAAATGGGGTTCANCGAAAGAAAATTAACCAATGGAAATAATTTTATAGAAGAAATTTGTATTAAAGAACTAAAAAGTCTTTTTGTTGATTGGGAAAGTGAACAATGGATTGATTTAAGACTAGGATACCTTAACAATTTTCTTAAGAAACAAACATTATCTTACTTTAATAAAAATGAAGTAAATTATTGGTTAGAAGATTGTATTACCGAACCATTTATGAGATATGTTACTTATTTTATTTGTGAGGATTTGGCTGAACATGAATTTTTAGATTAGAGAATGATTATAAACTTTTGTTGACTTTGTTTCTTTCTTTTTAAATATATGGTTACATCAATAAATGTGAATTGTGACTTTATTTTTTAGTCTTTAAGATTTTTCTATTCTTAATTTTTATTCTTTTACTTAAAATTGATTAAATTTCTACTACTATTAAATCAAAGCACGATTGTAAATCAGAATAAGAAGAGATAAACAAAAAAACTCTTATTTTTATGAAATAATCTTTTGAGGATTCTTTTTATTGTAGTATACAATAAAGATTTAATTTTAGTCTATGAACAAAATGTAAAGTTTTCATATTTTCCTCATAATATTGAAGAATTTTTGATAAGTAGTTTTATAAATCTTAGTCTTACAAAAGAAGAGAAAAATAAATAATATGAGATTCTAAAATAAAACAAACCGCAATCATGATACCTTTTCTTTTTTACAAAATTAAAAAAAAGGTATTTATTTAATAGCAAGTATTAAATTTAATTAACAAACTTTATAAATTATGTCTTTGTTAGTGAGATATCAATTATGAGCATTTGAAACTGCTATAGTCTAGCAAACTCAGCATGGGTTCAACTCCTACTGTAGGTATTTTCTATTTATTTTTAAAGGGATATAGATAAAAAATAAAAGGAGCCCATGAAACACTATCATACAAGAAACCATTTAAATAAAGGAAACAAGAAAACATTTAACTCTATTTATTTAAATCATTTAGTGTTTGGGTTATATCCCGAAGGATATAACCCAAACAATGATAATTTTAGAGCTTCGATTCTTAGAATTTGCACATTTAAACCATATCAATATTGTTTGTATCTCTAAAAATATTAAATTTTACACAAACTATGTAAAATTGTTGGATTAGAAAATTTCAGAGAAGTTTGAAATTTTGAAAAACGAATTAATTTAAATTAATACAATAAAAAACAATTGAAAATTTTTATAAAGCATGTACTTTATGAATCGCTATATTGTGACTTATTAATCAGGAGCAGTCAAAATACAATATTTCAACATCGACATGTTAGGTCTGTAATATTAAAAACTTAAAAAATCTTTAGGAGTTTAGAATATTTTATTCGTTTATAAGCATACTAATTTTGAATTTTTTTTTCAAAAAAACAAAACATTCATCATTTAATGTAAATCTTTTCTTAAAATATATATTCTTTATCATTCTGTATATTTTAACTAAATTTAAAAATGAAATTTAAGTATAATTGTCTTGATAGTAAGCAATTACATATCAAAACCGATCGATTCATTTTTCTCTAAATTGTTAAAACGATGGAAAGCTATATTTAAGTTAAAATTGCATAAATTATAAATGATCAAAAGTTTCAATTTACGACAGTAATCAAAAAAAAAATACATCATTTTGGCTATTTATTTAATTCTAAACCCAAAGGTTGTTTGTATTTTTTACTCTATTTTACCAAGAATCTTATAATTTCTCTTATGTCTTATAAATTTGTTCATGCTTCGATTTGGTATATTTGATGTTTTTTCTATTTAATCTGATGTTTAGATTTAAATTTCATTTTTAATTTGCAATATAGTAATATTTGAGGATTTATACTATAATTTTTATTGTGAAAAGATTACACCAGATAGAAGTAAATAAAACACAATGCAATTGTTATGGTAATAACATGTTTGTCTGTAAATATGATTTTGATGTTATGATTATTGGCTATACCTTAAAGCTCTCGCATCTTGTAATCAAAGCCAGCAAGGTAAGGTAGACTTAGGCAATCAAGGGAGCGCATATATTATATTTAGCTTGTAAAAAATTTAGAATACATTGAGCTATACCTAATTATATAGGTTTGATACCTCCTTGTCAAAACCGAAATATTCTCATTAATTTTTTATTTATTTTATCCGATCCACTAAGGCATCTCAGATACTTTCAGTTGCCATCTATGCTGTTTCGCGTATATTAAAAGTTTATTTTTAGCATTTAGAAGAGTTTCTTTTAAATTAAAGGAGATATTGATATCATTTGTTCCAATTAAGTAAAAGCATATTTTAACATAAGTTAAATAATGAATTAGTATCTTAAATATGGTATAAAAGGTAAGCGATAGATCTTCGTACAAATTTTCTATCTTCATTTTAGTCAACAAAAAAACATCTTTAGCATATCTCAATTGAAGATTGAATTATTATAAGATGAAAATTATCTTATAAAATGATTCTATACTATTTATAAAACACTCATTGCAATTAGTTGTATTTACTTTGATTTTTATATAAAGTTTATAATCTAAAAAATTACATTGTTCTAATTTGTTTTTAAAATGCAATTTAAACCCTTAATTTTATTAAGCTTTGCCACATATTAATGTAATAAAATAACTATTTTTGATTAATTATATAATTCATAACAGTAAAAGTTTTTTCAAATTTATAAATCCTTTAGTCACTTTTTCCTAAATATCACTGAGATAAAATAAAATATTTATTTCTATTCATTAAATCAATTTATATTAAAAAGAAACAAGTTTCATATTTTCAAGCGTGATTAAAATTTTTAGTATTTAAAGTTTTTAAAGCAAAAAACGATAAAATATTTGTGTTACAAATAATTATTTATTTAATTTATTAAATATAAATAATAAAAAATTTTATTCTCATGATAAACAAGATAAGAACGTTCAGGAAAGAAAGAACCTTAAATAAATGTTATTTAAAGAGCTTTTATGTTTCCTCACTGTTGTGGACCAACCTAGGAATTTGAAAGATACTAAAGACAGGTCTGTTTATTCTGAAAGAACGGTTCTTAAAAGGATAAATAAGTGTGTGAACTCTTACTTATGCGAAGGTAATTAAATAAAAGTTATGAGTCAATTTTTACAAATTTTTTAAAAAATAACCTAGGAGCCGTGAGTTATCACTTTCACTACAAGGGATAAATTCTTTAAAAAGGATACATAATCCGTATTGGAAAAAACTTTTTTTTGAGAGTTTACAAGACAATTGTATTTCATTTTAGTTCTTTTAAGATAAAAAATTAATTTTTAATGTATCAAAAAATTGTTCTAATGCATTAAAATTCTTAACTAATCATTAAATAAAATATAAAATTTATCATTGATCAATATAAAAATAACAAAATAGTGCTTAACTGTATGAAGTAGTTCCTGTAGCACAAGTTCCCAATTTTAGATTCATTCATCAGATTGAATGAACCTACGTTTTTTATTAAAAAAGTGTCTTTGTTGCGTAATTATACAAGCTTTCATCTTTTTATTTCATTCCTTGAGGTTAAATTTTAAATTTTTTAATTTAAATATTCTAAATCCTAACCCTCTTCACTACACTCTATAATCCTAATAAACCTTTTTGGTAAATTATAAAATTAAAATATTTGATTTCAAAAACACCCTTTATAATGAAATTCCATTTTACTTTATTATTATTCTTTGCTATCTTCTTAACATGTGATTTTTCAGAAGAACAATTTAATTTTGCATTAAAAAGAATTCAAAATTACATATCCAATGATTTATTAGAAAAAAATGAATTAAAAAAAACATTTAAAGATTTAGAAAACTTAATTAAATCTGTTTTGATACCAATTTATTTTAAAGATCCTATGAAAGAAACTAATAAAATGAAATATGATTTATATTTTAAGAATTTAAAAGAAACAATAACAACACTAGCTAGAATTTTTTTAAATTATAAAAAAAAAGACCAAAATACTCCTTGGTATGAAAAATATAAAAATAATATTCAACTGTTACTAGAGAAGTTTTGGGGCTCAACAAGCAATTTCTGGTGTTATTTTGTTTATGGAGCTATTTTTCTAAGTGGTATTGGTATTTCTTACACTTCCTTTTATTTTTTAAAAAAAAAGTAAAAATAAATAATTGTGGGATTTTATTGTAAAAAATTGCTCAAAATTTAATTTGTTAAAAAAGAAAATTTAAAAAATTAAAAAAGATTTGTTATAAAAGATATTTTTTAAATCATTTATTTTATTTAAAGATATGTATGTCGAAGAAATTTTTTAGGTTTTAACATTCTCTCGATATTTAAGAACTACAAATGAATAAAAAATTAAAAAATACACTAAATGAAGCCAACAGAAAAGTTTCGGATGGATTATAAAGCTTATTTTTTAAACTATTTGTTATAGCTTATAACAAAGCCAAAGGGTTGATTTCCGGCCGTGTTGTTTTTAGAAAATTAAAGCATATAAAAAATAATTTATAAAGACAGATGAAACCACCAATAAATAAAAACAAACAAAAAACCATTTATTTTAAATCCATCTACTTAAACCACCTGGTCTACGAATTATATTATCAGGGACATTACACTAATTGATTCTTTTTGAAACACAAAAAGCATTAAAAGAAATTTTTTACATAAATAATGTTTAAGAAATCTCATTAGAAAGAAAGCTTTCTACAAAAAAAACTATCTCTAACCTAGACTTGAATTTTTATAAAAACAATCATATTCTAATATAATTTTAAATTTAAATGTATCCGTGTTGGTCCAGGGGTTAGGATTTCGGTCTCTCACGCCGAAGGCCCGGGTTCGAATCCCGGACATGGAATTTTTAAAAAAATTGAAATAATTTTTTATTAAATTTTTTTATTAAAATTCAAAGATTGGTATTGGATACTTAATTGCAATTTTCTTAACTTCCTCTTTAATTTCCTTTAATTTATCATTTAATTTTATTTCTTTCAAAAAACAATCTAAAGAATCTTCTTTACATTTCATATCAATTTCTTTGGCAATATTTATTGCCTTACAAAGTATTTCAGTCACTTTTTTTACATCTTCTTTAGAAAAATTACGTGAAGTGATAGAACATGTACCTAATCTTATACCCGAAGGATTTAAACAATTAGGATTGGATGGTACTGAATTCATGTTTATTGTTAAATTAATTGAATCACACACATTTTGTACCTTTAACCCAGAAATGTTTTGATTTTGTAGATCAATCAAAATTGTGTGATTTTCTGTTCCTTTGCTCACCAAACAAAACCCATTTTGCATTAAAATTTCAGCCATTAGCTTAGCATTTTCAATTACATTTTTCGCGTACTCTTTAAATTCTTCAGTTTTTAACATTCCAAGTGTAACAGTCACAGCTGCTATCGTATCATTGTGAGGGCCTCCACTTAAACCAGGAAAGACTGCTTTATTGATCAAATTTTCGATGTCAATTATTTCGTTCTTTACAATTTTCTTCTTTCTGAAGAAAATCAAAGCACCTCTCGGACCGCGCATACTTTTATGGGTTGTTGTCGTTACAACATCGCAATACTCAAAAGGGCTGTTCATTTGCTTACCTGCAATCAGTCCAGAAATATGTGCGATATCAGCCAATAAAAATGCGTCAACCTCATCTGCTGCCTCTCTAAACTTTTTATAATCAAAGTCTCTTGAATAAGCACTGGCACCACAAATTAACATTTTTGGCTTAAATTCCTTCACTGCCTCTTTTACTTCCTCATAATCAATTGTATCTTTGGTAAGTTTGTATGGTTTTGATTCAAAATATAAAGAAGTAGCAGAAACTTTTGATTTCTTGCTTTGATATCCGTGACTTAAATGACCACCTGAAGGTAAATCCATGCCCATAATTTTGTTATTAGGTCCTACAAGTGCAGTGTACACAGCAAAATTGGCAGGACAGCCCGACAAAACCTGAACATTCACTCCCCATTCGTTAGAATCCAAATCAAATGCTTCTAATGCTCTTTTCTGACAAAGTAATTCAATCTTATCAATATTCTCGTTTCCTCCGTAATACCTTTTTCCAGGATATCCTTCACTGTATTTGTTACATAAAACAGATGCCTTGGCTTGTTGTACACTTATAGGTGCTAAGTTCTCACTTGCTATTAAATTAATACACTCTAATTGTCTCTTTTCCTCATCTTTGATAATCTGATACACCTCTAATTNGTCAATTTCTTTTAATTCTTTAAAAAGTAAACTTGTCATTTTTTCTTTTAAATTTTTTTTTAATTTATGGTTCAATTGATAGAAAAAATTTTTTAGAAAAGAACTTCTTAAGAACTTTTTATCACAAAATATCATTGGTTAATTCTTAAAAAGAATTTTATTTTACCCCTGTTATGTCAAAAGAATTCAGCGAAGAAGAAGAATACTTNAATTTAATAAAATTAGTTTTAGAAAAAGGGTTTAGAAAGAATAACAGAACTGGTATTAGTACAATCTCATATTTTGGTGCATCGATGAGATTTTCACTTAAAAATAACAGTTTTCCTCTTTTAACAACTAAGAAAATGGCAGTGCGCAGTATTTTTGAAGAGCTTCTTTTCTTTGTGAAAGGCCAAACCAACAATGAAATCTTGAAAAGCAAGAATGTAAATATTTGGACAGGCAATTCTACCCGAGAATTCTTTGATAAACAAGGAATCACAAGAAAAGAAGGTGATTTAGGACCAATTTACGGATTTCAATGGAGACACTATGGTGCTGAATATACTACTTGTGATGCTGATTATTCCAATCAAGGGATAGATCAATTACAAAATGTAATAAATAAACTTAAAACTAACCCTGACTGTAGAAGAATGATTGTTATTGCTTGGAACCCTGAACAGGTTGCTGAAATGGCACTCCCACCGTGTCACTTACTTTTTCAGTTCAATGTCACAGGGAAATATTTAAATTGTTGTTTGTATCAAAGATCAGGTGATATTGGTTTAGGTGTACCATTTAACATAGCCAGTTATTCTTTATTGGTTTATATGGTTGCATATCTTACAGGTTTAGAGCCAGGAGAGTTTGTTCATTTTTTGGGGGATGCTCATATTTACGAAAATCACGTTGAACAATTAAAGGAGCAAATCAAAAGAGAGCCACTCGGTTTTCCTCAGTTATTTATTGAGCCTGATGAAAAAAGATTGAATATTGAAGATTTTCAAATTAAAGATTTTAAGATTAAGGGTTATAAATCACATGCACCAATTAAAATGGAGATGGCTATTTAATAAAAAAAGATATGTGTTTTTTATTATAAATTGTAAAAATATAAATTAATTTAATATTTTTCTATCATTTTTTTATCTGATATGCTATAATTTAATATTTTTATTTTTAATATTTTTATTTATAATTTATTTTGTAATTTATATTTATATTTATTTTTATTTTTATATTTATATTTATATTTATATTTATATTTATATTTATATTTATATTTATATTTTTTTTATATTTTTATATTTTTGATATTTATTTTTATTTTTATATTTATTTTTATATTTATATTTTTAAATTAATTAAAAAATAGTTCAATACCTTTATTAATCATCTTTAATTACAAGCTCAGGATCATCATTTTTCACAAATATATAAATCAAACAGCCAATCAAAAATAATAAAACTGTAAGACTGGTAAAACATCCATGCAACTGATAATTACCAAAGAAAAAGTATGTAACTAATAAAATTAATACAGGTATAATAAAAATATTAGCTATTGTTATAATTAACTTCATTTCTGATTGTCTTTTTCTTAAAATTAATGAGTTAGTTTTTTCTTTTTGTGACATTAAAGGATTGTTTATTTTTTTTTAAAAAAAAATAAAAATAAATTTAATTAAATTTTTTAGGAATGATTTTGTAAAAATCTAAAGTATCTCCTAAAACATTTTCTCTTTTTCTTTGACTGAAATGGGTTAAAACTACTTGTGAGACGTTTGCTTCTTTTGCTATTTTAAGTGCATCACTTGTTGTGGAATGAAATGTTTTTTCTGCCCTGTCTTTTAAATCATCTGAAAAGGTTGCCTCATGAATCAAAAAATCACAATTTTTTACCATTTCCTTAAAAACAAGGTCATATTTGCAATCACCAGAATAAGAAATACTAAAATCATTGTAATCAATCCTTACACCACAAGAATCTAAACAATGTAAAATNCCACAAACTGTGATTTTATAATGAAAATTTGTAATCGTAAAATAATCAGAATAATTTTTAAAATTCTTTCTTCTTTTCTCNGCTGATTTATCTGTGGAAAAATAAAGAAAATTATCTAAAAATGAAGAAATAAATGGTTTTAAATTACCAGGACCAAATATTTTTAGAGGTATTTTATTCTTCCTTTCTTTTAAAACATGAATTATTCCTAAAANATGGTCTGCGTGAGAATGGCTTAAAAATACAAATTCTAATTCATTTATAATGTCAAATGACCCATAAACCCTNTGTATTTGGTAAAGAGTATCCTCACCACAGTCAAATAAAAATAATAAATCAGATATTTTGACTAAAATTGATGATACATTCCTGTATTTTGAAGGAATAGCACATCCCGTACCTAAAAATAAAACATAAATTTCATCATTTATCACATTTTTTACATCGTCTGGTAAAATAATTTGATTCTTTTTTAAATAATCATATGAATTGGTTGATTTGTTAAATAATAAAATGTCTTGACTTTCTAAGTTAAAAACACCTTTAAAGTTACTCTCATTATTTACTTTCATTGGTAATAAATAATCCTTGCATTGATTATTAAATTCTTTTTGTATTTGGTAAAAAGAATTAAATTCAACAAATGAATTTTCTTTGCAAAAGTAAAATTCTCCTGAAAAATTTTGTTTAAAAAAATTTACAGAATTTTCCTTGTAAAAAAATAAAATTTCTATTTTTTCGTTTTCAAGTTCTTTTTTTAATTCTTCAAAATTCTCTGTACAATAAATTATTGCTACTTTTTTAGGCATTACATCTGGTAGAAACGCCCCTTTTATCAAATTATCCTCAAAAAAGATTTCTTTTTTCTCTGCTAAAAGTGATAGCGTTTTTTTAGGAAAATTCTTTGGTATTTTATCAATAAGCATCTTTCCTCGAATAGTAGGCAGTTCTATAACAAATGAACATTCTTCATTTACCTCTATAACCCTCACTTTTATCAAAGTATCCTCGTATAAAGTGCATAGATCCATTTTTAATTTTCTTTTGTTGGCAAAATTTGCCAAATTTATTGAATCAAACCATTTAGAAGAACAAACTACCTTGATAGAATCATTAAACGTATTTTTACACTCATTTAAAGTCAAATACGTTCCTAAAAGAGCCGGTATTTGATACCTAGTAGAAAGAAAGAATGCAGTCACGGAAGAAAGTTTTGTGTTTGATTCGATAGAATATCTTTGAAATCCTTCAAATAAATTAAACACATATCTGTGCTTATCAAAGAAAAGTAACAGACTTTTACCACTTCTTGTTGAAAGATACTGGATATGAAATTTCATAAAAATATTATTTTTTTATTTAAAATATTTTTTAAATTTTTTTAAATCTGCATAGATTGGAGTGTCTTCTCCACCATAAGCTTTGAGAAGAACCTTGCAAGCAGTTTCTTTGTTAAGTTTCCTTTTAAAATAAATAAAAGCACCTTTGTAACTTTGATTTATCAAAGGATGATTTATAAACTCATTCAAGATTTCTATTGCAGATTCTTTCCTTTTATTTTTTATTAATTTTCTCAAATATAAATATTTATGCCAACTGCTTACTTCGCTGATATTGCTTTTAGTTATTAAAAGAAATTTATTTTT